TTTTGAGTCGGCTAATTGGGACGTCTCAGAAACACCCTCATTGCACCGCGCAGCAGGACGATTAATAAGGCTCTTCAGAAGGATCTGCCTGAGCCAGCACGCGCAGCAAGAAAATCTCCTAGTGGTATCGGATCAGGGAGGATGGAGATGTGGAGCACGAGCAGCGGAGCTCGACTCGCCCAGTGCCAACCAGCTCTCTCTCCTAGAGCTGTCAACTGTCGTTCCAGGGGTTTGCTGAGGTCTAAGCAGCAGAATAAGACACGGAGGTCCACGTTGCACACGCAACCCCAACAGGCGTCTTTCCAGCATGAGTAGCTGCCGTGCTGGTCTGGGCTTTCTGGAGCAGCCAGAGAGCATGCTCCAGCACCAGAGCTCTGCAGAGTAACAGAATCAAATCGTGTATCTCAAGCACCAGGGCTCAACATAATCATGCATTTTGCCTGCCAAGAGCTGCTCGCGTTGGCGATGATTTTCTTTTAAAAAAGGGGTTTAAGAGGCTAGTGAGGAGTTTAACTGGATGATGTGAGGAATCATGAAACTTGATGGCTCAAGAATCACGGGGATTGTGTGTCTTGGAAGGATGTGCAAGCTGTGGGATCTTCATGAACACTCTCCCACGGCGTGTCCTTAAGTCCAACGGTTGCAATTTCCGATGGGGTTGCAGGTCGCGCCGCTTCCTCCCATCATCTCAACTCATCAGTGATGCAACAAGACGTCCATAAAATTATCGAGGTTTCGAGGCTCAATGAGCCACTACGAAGAGCCATATTCACAATGTGGAACATCTGAATGGCTAAGAGCCTCTTGGAAGTCCTCTTGGTCACCCAAAAGTCTTTAAAAAGTTGTTGAACGTCATTTCCGCCTTGAAGTTGAATAGTCGCCTGCCTTACATGGAATAATAACGAAGCATGGTGTTGCTAACGTCCAGCGCTTGAGGACTACTCACCAAGCACTGTCGCGAGCTCGGTGAATTGATCATTCAGCTTGTCGCGACGCAATTTCTCTCTGTCTGCTTTCTGAAGCTTCTTATAGGAAATTCCGTCACCTCCGCATCCTTTACCCCCCTCTTCTTCCGATCCCGCTGATCTTAGGCTAGTCATTCGTCGTAACTCATCGTCTGTCATCGTTGCAGAAGAATAAAAGTGAAACACACAAAAACACGGATCTTCTTCCGTGGAGAGCGTCTAAAGTTCTACAAATAATCCTCCATTAAAAAAGACACTCTTTTCTGGCTCCAAACACCAAAAAACCGATTCTACTAGCTTCACGCTCATGATTGAGCGGCGGTACAAAAGCATTTGTGCTTGAAGTCTCTGGATGTCTAGCTTCACTGCAAGCTGGAGTTCACTCTCTGGCGTGAAAAGTTGGTAGGGGGGATGTGAACCTCACTCTCCTCTCCAGCTGTGGAGTTCATCCCAGCTCCCAGCCCCGCGCGTGACTCGTCCCGTCGCCACTCGTCACTCTCAATCTCAACTCATCCAGCCTGGAAGAAAAACGGTTCAATCGTCGCAGAGGATCGAAGAGATCACGAAAATGTGGCGTCCACGGACCCCACGCACAAGCGTGAAAGCTGGGGGCTGTCGCGCAGCAAACGGACAGCGAAGGCAGCGGAGAAGGCAGACAGCAAGGATAAGATGGGATGGGGTCGATCGACCCTTGGGAAGGGGAAGGGATCTTCAAGGGCATCCATCCATTGTGTGGCGTGTGTGGTGTGGTGTTGAAAGGGATGCGATTTGGGAACTTGGGATGAGACGCGATGGGTGTTCGGGTCACAAATTTCCAAGCGTTGGGAAAGTGTTCCCCGTCAAGTCTACTGTAGTAATACTGGAACAATCTATTCGACCTACGGTATCAAAGGTCCCTGAACGTCGGTCAGAATACTGTAGTCTCAAAAAAAAATCGGCAACATTTCTCATTTCTTTTCGAGTACAGTACGTGAGTTGTTTTGCAGATCATCCAAGACTCTCCACTTGCGATGGGGCCCGCTTACACCAAATCAAAGCCCACCACACTTCGCAGCTGTGTTGGAGTTCTCCCACCATCGAAGTTTGTTTGGTCATCCGCTGTGTCTTCCTCCCCAAAGCTTAGTCTCGAGTGCATTCGTTTCATGCAATACTCTCTTCAAGAGAAAAACTCAAGAGTGCTATGGGAAAGCAGCTCTGTGAAGCACATCCTACAATAGGCCCCACAACAGGCTCCTCCCAAAGCTGACGGGTGAGACGAAAAAATCTTCGGAATTCTGGCAACGCAATGTTTGTTTGCAGAAAATCACTTAGTGTATTAAAGAATCCTCTCATTTACGACTGTGGAATTTTAATACATTTTTTCCGCCACGACCCCGACTCCTCCCACGCCTACCCTAACAAAACAGAATACCTCCGCAATCCGGACAATTTATGCGTTTGAAGGGATTTCAACCGACAAAACTTGAGGAAACCCAGAATTCAGAAATGCCAGGCGCCTCTGCTCGGCCAACCACCGCACACGTGCTGCGTAGCTTTGATGTACTACTGTGGCCTACGTCAGGGACGTGCTATTTTCGTGTGGTCCTTCGGTTCTGGTTGTAGGGCGACCGCGAAGGCGTTTACGTGTTCTGTATGTATTTTGGGCGCGGCCGCTGTGTTTCCAGGGAAATTTTCAAAATATTTGCTACTGCGGACTGTCCTAAAAATTGTCAAACCTCGCAGAAAGACTTAGCCAAAAGGGAGAAACGGAGAGCGGGGTTTGTGTTGGGGGGGGAAAGGGAGTCAATCCAGAAAGTGCTCCGATTACAAAAGCTGTCCGCATTAAGGACGTGTGTGAAATTAATTTTTATGAAAGTTCATGTTTTTGACTCGATTTTAGCAGGTCTTAATAACCTGAACTTGACTCTATTTTGAGTTGTGGCAATGTTCGAACCGCTGGTGAGCATGCTTGTAGATTCACAATCACACACGTAGGTGCGAATTTGCAAGTTCGAATTCACAAGGGGGGACCCGAGCCGCATGGGGGACTGTAGGTTACCCGGTTTCAATCACACCACAGCGCGACACGTCACCGGAGCGCTGCACACAAAAGTGAGCCCTAGACCTCCAGCTCAACTCCGCAGAAGGGGTGGTTGTACACGATACAAATATCTCCCGAATGAACAACATTCCAAGTCAGCAACGCACAATGACTCTCATTCAGCTCGTGGCACGTCGGGTGCCACGTGGTGGGCCTAGCGAGTTCAGCAATGTGTAGGGTCTTGGTTGTGATCTCATTGGCGCACGAAAGAGTCGCAAGATTCGCTGGAACCTCGTACGTGGCTGACACCACACACGTTCGGTTCTTTGTGTTTGCCGAAGTTTGATAATTATTCCCTATCGTGTTCACAATTGAGGGTTCGCACTTCCCAAACGTGGTAATACTTTCGGATTTGGCAAAAAAACAGGCGAAATACGGCGAATAGGGTAACCATACGAAGTTTGACCCCGATTACGAACTCCATCCAATTTCACACACGTCCTAAAGGTACAAGAGCACACTCACTAAGCCCAGTACGATTCAAATCACGAGTGCCCGCCTGTTTTGATGATGACATTGGCCCGCTGATCTTGATAAGGTTTCCTCAAATCCAATCAGGATTTACCTTCGCTCCTCGCGCCCCCTAAAAAATTGAAACATGAGACTGGTGGGGCACAAGAGTTTACAAACGCAACTGGCGTCACTTTCAAGCATGAACTTTTGACCACAAGACGGTTTACAAAAAAGTTGGGAACTTCTCGCTGACCGCTCGAATGTGGTTGGTAGGATGTCGCTCACGCGACACGCAACCCCATCGATACGATCACGTGCGCAATGTCATGCCTTGGCTCGTCTGGTCTGGATGGACTCGGTTCGGCAGCACCGCGAGCAGCACATTGCGTGTTTGGCGTGGTGGCAATCACTGCAGACGACTCCAAGGAAACGGCGCCATTGGTAGAAACCAACTCTTTTCGGCGACAGACGACAAACAAGTTCCTCAAAATGGTTCGCAGCTGTGGTCATTCCGGAAACTGTAGTTCGCAGCTCAAAATGGTTCCGGGTAATAAATGCTTCTTGGCATAAAACATCTCCCACCTGGCGAAGAAGAAAACCTTCGTTTCCTGTACTTTTTCTGTAGCTGACACATCCACCGAACCCAGCGCAGCCTGAAGTGAGTTTGACGACTACAGAGTAATGTGCCGCAAGAATTGGGACGCATGTCCACAGCGGAAATAGCCCTAATTAGACGCAAGATTGCACCAAGCATGCTTGTCCTAGATGCTACCAGAACGTTAGGCTGCATCATTTTCATGCACTGCACTATGGGATAACTTCAGAATTCAAAGCAGATTAGTTCAGACGAGCCGGCTTCATGACTCTCCTGATCTTCCACCTACTTTTCCCACTTACCGTACTAGATCCCCTGGTCAGGCGGATTGGCAACGAGGAAAAACTAGAACCTCCACAGTCAAAGAAACTAAGGACGCGTCACAAGTAAAATATCGAGGAAGGATCAGGGTTGTTCACCGAACCTGTCAAACCGATTCCCATATCGGTGTGTCACGACTGCTTTGAAGTTTCAAGTGACACCATCGCAAAAACATGGGGCAAAATTGCCCGATGTGGACGAAATTGCACGATCGATGTGTGACAGGGGCACATCGATCGCCTGACTTAGAAGGGAAAACTGTACGTTAGCGAAAATAAACGAAAATGTGTAACCACCTAAACACCGATTCTAGGCAGGATCGATGTTCTACTTGTGACGCGTCCTAAACTTGCTCACGTCAACTCTATGCAGCCTGAGCACGTGTAGAACAGGTTGACTGTCTCAACCCTCCTAATCTCCCTAACTCTCCTCAATCCTCCTCATCCGGCAGAGAGGCAAAGGCAAACGGCACAAACTGGTACCCGTCGCCGGCATAGAGCTTGCCAACGGCACAAACTGGTACCCAGTGCAGCCTGAGCTCACGCAGGCCAGACTGAATGCCTCAAACTCCTGAATAGTCCAACTCCTAGTCCTCCTCATCAGGCAAAGCGGCAAAGGAGAACGGCACAAACTGGTAGCCGTCGCCGACGTAGAACTTGTTCATAAACTCCACCCAGTGCAGCCTGAGCGCATGCAGGAAGGCACTGAGTGTCTCCATGAGCAGCAGCACGCCCACTGTGGCTGCTGCAAACACCAACGACCCTATCAGAATGGCTATCACGTTGCCAGAGCTGCAAGGTTATCAAGCGATATGGGGTTGGAGAAGACGAAGAAAGAAGTGAAAGAGGGTATCGAGGGGAGAGGAGGGAGAGGAGAGCGAGAGGAGTGACAGGAGAGGGGAAGAGGCAGTTTGAGGGGCAAGAGATGAGAGAAGGGTGGCTCAAGGAGCACATAGGAAACCAGATGAGGTTACCAGGAGAAAATCAATGAAGGACGCAAATTCATCTCGTGCGACGGTCATGTACGTTTTGAGAACGATTGAAAACAACAAGACAGCCATTTTGGGGCGGTCGCTGGTCAGTGGTGGGATACACTCTAGAAGAGGGGACAGCATTCACCGGAATGCGGGGGAGGAGAGGAGGCAGTGATGTGACAGTGGGAGAGACAAGAAAATGATGGGAGCGGCAGCAAAGTGACGTACGCAAGGGCAGGTTCCAAGACTCGCTCGTAGAAGACTGCAGAGAGCTGCGCGTGTGCCAGACTGCAGACAGAGGAGGGCGTGTGAGTGGGTGGGATCAGAGTTCCGTGGTCAGTAGAATAATCACTGCTTCAAGTGCCGAGACCAAAACCCGGAGAAGATCGCTGAGAGCTGCGATTGCAAACTGCAGGGGAGCGGGTGTGGGCGAGAACAGGGACCTGAGCTGATAGAAGGAATTAACAACATGAGATACTTGAGATTTTGAGCTCATAAATTACATGAGACCGCCAAAGAACTTGCAAAAGGAAGTTGCGAGAATGAACAAGCTGAATACAGTGCTTGGGGCAGCTCAGAACCTAGAGTAGTAGAAGATGGCTGAGCATAGGGCATGCGGGAGCACAGGCGACGAGAGAGGACGGGGGCGGGTGCGGGATGGGAAGGGTGAGGGCGCTCTGAACATCACATGCACTACGTGCACTAGCAGTGCCACGATAAGGCGATTCCTTCGAGACGATTTCCCTGAGACCCATTCCCCAGAGACAATTCCCCCAAGACTATTCCCCCAGGACAGTAATCCCCCTGAAACAATTCAACTGAGAGAATTCACCTGAGAGCCCAGAGGCGGAGGTAGGAGGCGGTGTTGGAGACGGCACCGAGCACAAACTCAATGCAGTGAATCATCTGATGCACCATCACCTCCCCGAACTCAAACTCCTCCTCCTCCTCGCCCTCCCCCTCCTCCCCACTCGCCCCCGCCTCGCCCTCACTGCCTGGCAGCGCGTGGTACGTACGCCCTGCCATCTTCTGGAGGGAAGGAGGAAGGGGGAGGGGGGGGGAGGGGGGGGTGGGAGAGGGAGGGGGAGAGGGAAAGGAGGGAGGAAAGGGGGAGACGGAAAGGAGGGAGGAAAGGGGGAGAGGGAAGGGGGAGTGGGAAGGAGAAAGAAAAGCAGGAGAGAGAAGCGGGAGAGTGGAGGAGGAGAAGGTGTGAACACATGGTGTTTAGGTAAGCCTGGCCAATTTTAGAAGGGGAAGGGGTTGGATGCATGATGAGTGAGTGGGACATATGGGTGAGTTGTGGTGGTGGTTATGGTTGACAGGCAAACCACCCACACAACACATTGGCTGGGTGAAACTAAAGCAAGCAAAAGCGTGTTGGGAAGCAAGGCAGCGAGGGGGGTTGGGGGGGTTGGGTAGGGGTGGGAATGGGGGAGGAGTATGAAGGCGAATAAGGCGAGAAGAAGCTACTCTGATGCGCTGCGCTCTCTCCCTTGCCTGACCTGGATGTGCTGGGCGCGGAGGATGAGGGGCTTGGGCAGCAGCATCCACGGCACTGACACGAGCGCGATGAATAGCAGCACGATCTGCAACAGCAGACACATACAGAGCAACACACATACAGAGCAACACACATGCGCCAAGCAACACACAGGCATGCACGCGCCATGCACACACCCATCCACGCATGCACGCACCCACCCACGCATGCACGCACCCACCCACGCATGCACGCACCCACCCACGCATGCACGCACCCACCCACGCATGCACGCACCCACCCACGCATGCACGCACCCACCCACGCATGCACGCACCCACCCACGCATGCACGCACCCACCCACGCATGCACGCACCCACCCACGCATGCACGCACCCACCCACGCATGCACGCACCCACCCACGCATGCACGCACCCACCCACGCATGCACGCACCCACCCACGCACGCACACACACGGCAGGGTGGCCGATTGGGTGCAATGAAGCTTGGCGTGGTAGTGATAAGCCTCAAAGCCCCAATGCTCTTTTTCCTCTCACTCATGCATGTAAGCCCCCCAGCTCGCCAGCACTACCTGTTCTGTGCTCATCTGCATTCTATCTATCCTCCACACTCTATCTCACCTGCCAGTGCCCCGCTCTCACCTGTCACGGTGTCTTGCGCTCACCTGGACGGTGCCCTGCCCGTAGAACAGCTCGTTATCCCCCAGGGGTTCGACGGGGTTGAGGAACATGTAGATCATGACGTGGTACAGATCCGCCAGGGAGCCCCCAATTGCCCACTCACACACACTCTAGCTCGCGTTCCCTGCACTGCGCTCTGCTGTGGCCCTAAGCCCACTCTTACCTGCACGGTGCCTTGCCCGTAGAACAGCTCGTTGTCGCCCAGCGGCTCGACGGGGTTGAGGAACATGTAGATCATGACGTGGTACAGGTCCGCCTGGGAGCCGGTGATCCACTTGAGGATGATGAGCAGCGAGAGGTAACCGAAGAGCGAGCCTAGGAAGAGCATCTGTGGGATGAACTCGTACCTGTGCGAGGGAGAGTAGGCGGGGGGGAGAGGGAAAGGGAGGGGGGAGGGAGAGGGAGGAGGGAAGGTAGAAGGGCGAAAGGTTGGGGAGCTGTGCCTGTGGGAGGCACCTCAGTCAGCACATGAGAAGAGAAGAGGCACAGCTCCCCAACCTTTGGTTACCTCTCGCATCTCACATGAGAAGAGAAGCGAGAGGTAGCCAAAGAGCAAGACGTTCCAAAGCATGGACGAATGCTGAGATTCACCTTGACGCTGTTGCGGAAAAAACATAGGAGCTGATGATTCACCTTGACGTATGGTCCGTACAACTAGATGCTGTTGACATGGATAAAGTTCCAACTAGATGCTGGAAGCACTGACCAGATGTTGGTAGCACTGACCAGATGTTGAGGGGCTTCTTAAAGAACTGCGCATTGTAGAAGGAGAGGATGATGCCGGCAAACATCTGCGGAGATGCAACATTCACCTGGCCATACCGACCAGACACTGCATGCGACTGACACCCACTGCATGCGGCTGAAACTGACCAGATGTTGAGGGGCTTCTTAAAGAACTGGGCATTGTAGAAGGAGAGGATGATGCCGGCAAACATCTGGGTGACGCCGAGGATGATGCTCATCTTCATCTTGAGCGAGTTGAGGAACGGCAGCTCCGTGCGCGACCCCTTCCACGCCGGGTCCACCCCAAACAGGTACGTCGCCCCGTCCTTCACCAGCCCTGCTGTGCCCGAGTCACTGGGAGAAAGGGTACAATCAGGAGAGGGAGTTTTGAGATATCTTAACCTATGCAGACCCTGATGATAGGCAGGTCGCCTGTTTTTCCATTAGGAGTGCTATGCCAGAATCACTGGGAGGACGGATGGGCAAGCAAGAGCGGCCGGATACATCATACACATGAGGAACAGCAATTCAGCGTGCGGCCCCTTCCGAGTGATAGCGAAACAAGACGTGATGCTCCGCCAGGCCTACCGTTCAGGTGGAAATACCAACGACTTGGAGGAGAGAGAAGATGGATGCGAGATTCGCGCATGTTGTGGATACCGAAACATGTTGCTCACAATCAGGTATGGGAACGGATGATGCAGAGCCCAAGGAAGGACGAGAGGGAAGAGAGCAGAGGTGAGCGAGTGGCGGGATGGGAAAGAGTGGAGTGAGGGAAGGGAGGGTAAGGAAAGTATGGAAGAGAATCGGAACGGGATGGGACGGAAGGGGGGAATCAACGGAAAGGGCAGAAGAGATGGGACTGGAGAGAGTGACTGGAAGGCTAGGAGAACAAACTGAGATTTGGGCATGGGGTGGGTGGTAGGGCGGATACGGAAGGAAAGGATGGGGGGGGAGGGGACGGGAAGGAAAGGAGGAGAAGAAGGAATGGAAGGGGAGGGAAAGAATGGAGGGGCAGAGAGAGCAGGAGCACTGACTGGCAGTCGGGCGTGCGGCAGTGGTAGGCGGTGCCACCAAAGAGGGGGAAGTCAAAGGCGAGGGAGAAGAACTCGTTGTAGATGAAGCCGGTGTAGATGGAGAAGATGGACATGAGCAGAATCACGTAGCGCCCCCCAAACGCCATCTCCGTTATGTCGTCCAGCTTCTGGTGAAGGGCAGCAGGTTGTGAACAGGAGGTGGGAGGGGGGATGTAGTGACACAAAAGGGGATAGGATGACGTAGCAGCCTGAGAACGACATCCCATTCCTTCCGCACGTGCAATCTGAAACAATGGAAGAGGAAGAAACTGGAAAAGAAACTTCTGGAAGGGGGCAGGGGTATTGCACTGCCACAGCAGGCAGATGGAACGTGCATGCACGATATGGTTGCGGGTCAATTTAACGTGTGAGGGAAAGAGAGGCAATATGGTTCCGCCCAATGTGCCTGAGCGCCCAGATGCATCAACGTCAACCCAACGTGCCATGACCCCAGAACCTGAACCCATGAACCCAACCCAACATGCCTGGGAACCCATGAACCCAACCCAACGTGCCTGGGAACCCATGAACCCAACCCAACGTGCCTGGGAACCCATGAACCCAACCCAACATGCCAGGGAACCCATGAACCCAACCCAACATGCCTGGGAACCCATGAACCCAACCCAACGTGCCTGGGAACCCATGAACCCAACCCAACATGCCTGGGAACCCATGAACCCAACCCAACGTGCCTGGGAACCCATGAACCCAACCCAACGTTACGTGCCTGGGAGGCGAGCTTCTTCTCGTTGAGCACGAGCCAGAGCGCGGCGAGCAGCATGAGGGCGCCGTGGCCCCAGTCGCCAAACATGATGGCGAACAGGAACGGGAACGTCATGATGGAGAACAAGCCCGGATTCGCCTCCTGATACCGCGCCACTCTGAGAATTGGTGGGGGGAGCGGGGGGGGGGTGTGGGGGGGCAGGCAGGGGGCGTGTGGGGGGGCAGGCAGGGGGCGTGTGGGGGGGCAGGCAGGGGCGTGTGGCGGCAGGGGTTCAGGGTGGGTGAAGGAATGAGGTAGCTGTGGCTGTTGGGGGTGTAGCAGCAGGTTGGACGTGGGGTTTGTTGTGGAGGCAGGCAGAGAGGGGCGTGGGGGCATGCTGCAGGGTCACAAGGGTTGAAGGGACAAGGTCGTGGTGGCCTGAAAGGTGGAGGTGAACTTGCTGGTGACGAACAGGGTCAATGGACTGTTGGCGAGGAGCATGTGGTGTGAGTGAGTGATTCACCACAACTCACAGCGCGTTGTTCAACAACTCATGCTCGTGAGGATGGGAATGGGAATGCTTGGGAATGGGATTGAGGAGCTCACCCATAGGCGTCAACGATGGCCTGGAAGGCGGAGGTGAACTTGTTGGTGCGGAAGAAGGTGGGCGGTGACTCTCTGGCGCGCAGTGTGTGGAAGATGGTGCTCACTGCCGCGTTGCTCGCCGCCATGCCCCGCTCCAACGCCTCCTGCACCTGGTGTTGTGTGCATTGCATTGCATGTACACCATCCATGCGCCATGCATAACATGTACACCATCCATGCGGCATGCATCGCGTGTGCACCATGCATGTCCCAAGTGCCATGTGGCAAGTGCCATGTGCCATGTGTGGTGTGCGATGTGCAGTGTGCCATGTGCAGTGTGCCATGTGCAGTGTGCCATCTCCACCATGTGACAGTCCATGTGCCATGTACCATGTAACAAGTCAGTATGCACCATGTCCCCATGCGCCATGCCGGGTGCGTGCGCCCATCTCGTGTTCATGTGCATGATCCCATGTGCATGTGCATGATCCCATGTGCATGTGCATGATCCCATATGTATCCGCATGATCCCATGTGTATGTGCATGATCCCATGCGTATGCGTATGATCCCATGTATATGTGCATGATCCCATGCGTATGCGCATGATCCCATGTGTATGCGCATGATCCCATGTGTAAGCGCATGATCCCATGTGTAAGAGCATGATCCCATGTGTATGCGCATGATCCCATGTGTATGCGCATGATCCCATGTGTATCCGCATGATCCCATGTGTATGTGCATGATCTCATGTGTATGCGCATGATCCCATGCGTGCATGTGCGTTTCCCCAAGCGCACGTGCCCATGTGCCCAAACGCGAGCGGTTATGCTCCCAGGGAAAGCAATCAGGAAAGAGGGGAAGGAAGAGGTTAGGTCAGGCTGTTGGGCGTGCACCATTCAACTAGAAAAGGGAAGATGTGCATTGTACACTCATGCAGCCAGGAGAGGGGTTGGAACGGGGAGGGAGGAGCGGGAGGGGAGACACGGGAGGGGAAAAGAACAGGAGAACGGAAAGGAAGGAGCAGGAGGGGGACGGGGGCGGAAGGAGGGGGAAGGAAGGGAGGCTAACAAAGGAGGGGAGGGGAAATAAAGGAGCATGGAAGAGCAAAGCTGACGGAAAAGACTGAACTACAGTAGCACGCCAACAGACACAGTGGCTTGGGCAGGGCTAAGGAAGCACTCAGCCAAAACAAGCAGTTAGCCAGCAGACGAACACGAACCTTAACGAGCGCGGAGGTGGGGCACCAGGCCTCGGCGACAAGGCACTTGCGTGTGACGTCAATGGAGAGCTGGTTGAGCACGTGGTACACCGCCTTCTCGTTGCGCACCTGGTGATGGGGGAGTGGGGGGGAAAGGTCGGGGAGTGGGGGGGGAAGGTGGGGGAGTGGGGGGGAGTGGGGAGTGGGGAGTGGGGAGGAGGGGCGGGGGTCGGAAAGGCGAAAGGGAATGAAGCTGGTTGAGCACGTGGTACACCGCCTTCTCGTTCCGCACCTGGTGATGGGGATGGCAAGGGGGGGATGGCGGGGGGGGGGGGAGGACAGTTGGGAGGGGAGAGGGGAGATGGGGAAGCGAGGGGAAAGGATCAGAAAGGTGAGAGGGAAGAGAGCAGATTGAGCATCTGGTGATGGAATCAAGCGCCAGAACGTGGACACGAGAGAGCGTGGGAATGTGGGAACGACGAGAGAGGCGAAGCTGGTGAAGTCACAGTAGAGTAGGTCACCTTCTCGTTGAGCTGTGATATCAATCAAGAGAGAGACGGGGGAACGCGAAAGACGTGAGGTGAGGAGGGGGGAAGGTGCGAGAAGGTGGAAGATGTTGGGAAGGGGAAAAAGGCGAGATGTGGCGGAGACGCATTAAGTGGGACGGACAGGAGAAGTGGAGGTGGGAGTAGGGGGGGCGCAAGGAGTGTAAAGTAAACAGAGCCCAGAGACCCCGAGAGACCCCGAGAGACCCAGAAAAGACCCAGAGAGGCGCAGAGAGATGCAGAGGTGTTGAGAATTGCGCAGGGACGGACCAGCAAGGTCCAGCGGTCGATGTAGACGCTGATGCTGTTGAGCACGTTGTCGCGGTGGCGGTTGCCCGCGTCTATCGCCGTCTGCAGCTCCCCCAGCCGCCCGCGCACCTGCAGGAGACACGGCGGGGGAGAGCGAGCGAGGGGAGGGAGTGGCGCAGGAGCGAGGGGGGGGTGATGCAAGAATGTAAGTGGGAGGGAGCGGGAGATGCTTCACAGGAACACGAAAGGTAAAGTGGTGAACAATGAAAGGAAAGTCAAAGAAAGTGAGGAAGAGTGGGAACGGGACAAGAGTGCGGGGACAAAACAGAGAAAGCAAGACAGCATGTGGGGAATAAGGGGGCGAGGGTGGGGGCAGGCGGAAGGGGGAAAGGGGTAATGGACAAGCGAAACAAAGGTCCTCTGAGTGCAATGACGTGGCAGGAGCGCACGCACCTCAGCGAGCATCTGGCGCTGGCGCGCGGGCTCCTCGGGGAAGGGGTAGCGGTTGGCGCCAAAGGCCTCGCAGATGCGCATGATCTTGGTGCGCGCGCGGTCGCCTGAGAAGAACACCACAAACACCACCTTCTCCACCTGCGCGCACGCATGGGGGGGGTGTGGGGGAAAGGGGAGGAGAGGGGGAGTACGGGAGAGGAGGGGGGAGGTGGGAGGAGGCAGGGCAGGACGAGGGATCACGTGGGAGGGTTGAATGAGTGAGACATATTCCAACGAAAAGGAGTACTGTTTGGCATCAAGAGAGCGCATGATCTTGGTGCGCGCGCGCTCGCCAGAAGCGGGGTCCAGCACGGGCTCGTCCACCGCCTCCTGCTTCAGAAACTTGTTGCCGCACATGGCGGGGACCAACAGTGTCCACATTCAATGAGTCCGCAACTGCGAAACCACAACCGTGAACCCCATCCGTGAATCCGCAAGCGCAAATCCGCAACATTCCCTCCCAGCGGCGCCAGCTCACCTCTTCGCCAGTGGCGGGATCCAGCACAGGTTCGTCCACCACCTGCTGCTTCAGAAGCATGCTGCCGCGCGTCGCGCGGAACAGCAGCATCCACATTCAATGAACCCGCAACCGTGAATGCGCACCTGTATACCCGCAACCTTCCTTCCCATCCCAGCCAGCTCACCTCTTCGCCAGTGGCGGGGTCGAGCACGGGCTCATCCACCACCTCCTGCTTCAGAAGCATGCTGCCGCGCGTGGCGCGGAACAGCAGCATCCACATTCAATGAACCCGCAACCGTGAATGCGCACCTGTATACCCGCAACCTTCCTTCCCATCCCAGCCAGCTCACCTCTTCGCCAGTGGCGGGGTCCAGCACGGGCTCGTCCACGACCTCCTGCTTGAGAAACATGTTGCCGCGCGTGGCGCGGAACAGCAACCGCTCGAACGTGAGGACCTTGCTCAGCGGCACCAGCCCCGTCACGAACCCCAGCCGCTTGCTCGAATCCGACGCCATCTCCTGTAGGCAGCACGGGGGGAGGGGGAAACAGGGAAAGGGGGGGAAAGGGGGGGAAAGAGGGGGAAAGAGGAAGGGAGGAAGGGGGGAGGAGCAAAGAGCAGCCGCTTAAACGTCACGACCTTGCTCAGCGGCACCAACCCCGTCACGAACCCCAGCCGCTTGCTCGAATCCGACGCCATCTCCTGGATAGCGAAGGGTGCGAGACAGGGAGGGCGAGAAAAGAGAAGGGTGAGAAAAGAGAAGAGCGAGAAAAGAGAAGCGCGAGAAAAGAGAAGCGCGAGAAAAGAGAAGCGCGAGAAAAGAGAAGCGCGAGAAAAGAGACGCGCGAGAAAAGAGAAGCGCCATCAGGACATGAATATAAATGAAAAGGGAGGCAAGAGGAAGGACCGGCTAGAAGAAACCGCCAGGGAAGAAGAAAGCACCCCTGATGCAGGGAGAGCAAGCCGTGCATAGACATCCCCTCTCGTGCCATGCCTGGTCGAGAGCAGCACCCTCTCCAGATCTCGCACCCCGCCGCGCTCATCAAGACGATGGGAGTAACTTGGGATGGTGCATTTTAGGAGGGAATGGGGAGGGCACACCTGATCGAGCAGGAGCGGGCTGTCCATGGACGTGCTCTCGCGGATGGACGTCACGCGCACGATCTCCCGCTGGTAGTCCGCCGCGCCCATCTGCGCGCTCGCGAAGAACGACCCCGCCTGGCGTCGATCGCACATAAGCAAGGGACGGAGAGAGAGATCAACGAAAAAAAGGCAGTTACAATGGTTTTTGAGGCAAATCAGAGATCCCCATCTGCGTGCTCGCGAAGAACGACCCCGCCTGGCGTCGCATGCAGAGACGCGGGAGACGGAGAGAGATCTGTAAGAAAAAAGGTTACTTAGGATGGCATAGAAAGAAAAGGAATATGTAGATGCGAATTGAGGAGGAAACAGTGGAGAGATCTAGGGCGTGGATCTAAGCGTAGGATGAGATTGAACGATGTTCACGGAACGAGCATCAATGGTGAGGAGCCATTTGGTAATGCGCGGAGTTTCCAAGGGACGAAGGGACCAAAGACCAGCCGACGGAGGAAGAAATAAGTGCGGGGATTCTCGAGAAGACGAAGCGAGATCACTATCACCCCACAATGTCCACGACAATATTGCACTATACCATGTCGACATTACTGCGGATACACAACACTGTCGCACCTCATCGCTGTCGACAGCGTATCACATCTTCTCCTAGAAAGTATCCCGATGTTCGGAAATCCGTGACCAAGAGCACCCGCGACCTGAGACGCTCCTCAGCATTCTTGATACATCCCATCGCCTGATCATTCTCGCCCTCCGGCAACTTATCACCATTATCAACCCCCAATCAACCCCTGATTGGCACCTTATCAGCATTGCTCGCACCTCATCGGCGACATTCGCACCTCATCGGCGACATTCGCACCTCATCGGCAACGAACGCACCTTTTCCAGGACGAGCTTGAGCTCCGTGAGCTCGTTGCGCGTCTTGAGCAGCTTCTCCGCGTTGCCGTTGATCTCCAGCAGCTCCGCCTCCAGATCGTTCAGCTTCAGCTGCACCGCCGCAACACGCGCAAAAAAAGAGCAAGCTAATAGGCAAGCAAGAAGAAATGCGCTCAAAAAGCGAAATGCAAGCATCCACGACATTGGCATAGAATCTTAGAATCCAAAAATCTAAAAGGAAAACAAAATGAGATCTGTCGTAATGTTTGGCAAATACGCTCCTTCGACGATATTGAAAGGCCGGTTCGTCTCCGTCTACATTATCTGGCTAAAAGACGGACCTCGAGATCATCCAGGTCGAGATCCTTGTCGAGCGTCCGCGGTTGGGTGGGGAGAATCCCGGCCTTCAGAGACTGCTCTTTCAAATACCGCAGCTTGCGAGACATCTCGTCACATCGCTTGACCTGATCCAGCCATAAGCGGGACGAAAAAAAAAACGAAAAAAAAAAGGGTCGGCGATGGTAGCGCGAACTCCCACGACGTGAAAAAACAGGCGGAAAAAAAATCGTTGAAGGAGGAGGTAGAATGAAACGTACTTGGTTCGCATATGTTCGTTGAAACGGGCTCTTGTCCGGGTTCATCTGCGAGACGTGAAACACGGAGAGAGAAGTGAGGTGGAAATGCTGAGATGAGCTTTTTCCTACTGAGAGCAAAATTACTCAAAAGTGCGACTTGTAAAGGAGGAGAAAAACGTTCAGCTAGGACCCTACGTCTTTAAACTGGACTAGGCCGAGTTCTCCGAGATAAGAAATAGTGTCATGCGCCGCTTCCGCGGGAATAATAAGCTGCATCAGCTGCATTTCCTCGGACCGAAACAGGTCCATCGCGGGCTCGGACCCCATGGCTGCCTCTGAGGGAGACCTCTTGTTCTAAGAAACCCTAATGGCTCTGACCTGAACTAAGCTGTGGGAGGCCCCACAGCAATTTTTCTACTTAGTCTCCGATCACTAGTGTCTAGAATGGCAGGCCTGACCAGCAGAACTCCCCGAACTCAACCTCAAACCAGGGCTAAGGGAGCGAGCGTGGGCAAGCTCTGGAACCAGGGAGCAACACAAGTCGGAGCTAGCGGAAGGCCCAGCAAGGAGCGGCGCTGCTGTGCCACACATCCAGGAAAATCTCTGGAAGCCAGAGTGGTACAGTACGGCGGGCTGGTTGTTTCTGCATTTACCACTCCCCCCACCTCCCTCCACCCGAACCGAACCTGTTCGGTTCCGAGAGGGGGAACAATTGTAGCTGTGCTGACGCAAAGGTGGCACCCCAACCGGTTTGGATGTAACGCCAACGGAGGCCAGGCACTGGTCCGTAACGTGTCGAGCCTAAAGTATCTTTCCCCACAGTTTCCGAAGCTGACGCCCTGGTTAGGAATGAAAGCGTTTCTGCATCATTCGTTTGCAACAACTATCAAGACTTAGGAACCAAATACTTCAAACATCATTGTCAACCTTACACACTGTTGTGCAAAACTTGTTTACTCCTGGTAGGGTTGGGCATCAAGGTAATATTGTTTACTCCTCATAGGGTTGCGCATCCTAAAATGGACACTAATCCACACTTTTCCCCATACACCTCACAATAAACATGGACTAACAAAAAATGGTAGGACCTACGTAAGCAAAACATTTTGCAATTTCATTTTCATGTGGCCCTTGGGCAAAGGACCTACGTCATATACTAGACTCGTTAACCTATAGCTCCATAAATCCCCCCATTTGTATCTCAAGTCTTGTCCTTCCTTAGCCCACGTGACTGTGTCCTCACAGGGTTGTCTCCACATCATTGAACCAAGAAAGGGCAATGGCGACAATTGGATCCAAGGCCCCCGCATCCAGCAACCGGAAGACCGATACCCGGTGACCTCCCACTTTAGTGAAAGCGGCGACTTTAGCCCCAGGATAGCCACCAGGCTCCCTGTGCGAGAGCACGAGAGCTCTATTCTCCCAGGTCTTCACCAATTCCACCATGGATGGACCTAAGTCGAGAGTAGACCCATCTTGCTGCATAAAAGGAGTTCAAACCACACATATAAGGACAAATGTGTCAAAAGGCCGACAGAAGGCAAAGGCATATATATCGCATCCATTAAATGCTGCATTCCAGGAGAGCCATGCTTGAGAATGTGGACACTCGGGGTGTTTCAATGGCAAGCCTACCTGAACCGGAGGTGGCGAGATCGCAAGGTAGTTGCTGGAGATGTTGATTCCCACTGGCAGCCCGTTGCTGTACACTCGGGCCTCGGTCTCGGGCCCACACCTGAAACTCAATCCTGGTCTCTGGTTCCACTCGCCGTCACTCAACTCAGTCACCACCATCATAAGTACCTCTCCCGTCAAACCGTGCTGCATTTACAAGCAACAAGACCATTATAACGGCAAGACGACAGTCAGTCAGCATTGAACAGTGAGCTCCTGTTGAGGTGGGGCCGACGAGAAGCAATTTAACAGCCGAGAATCTAGCAAGGTGAACCTTGTGTTGCGATTATACAAGGATCACCAGAGAAAATCATCCCACCAGCCACCTTGCCCATAAACGGTCATAGAAGAACACGGAAAAAAAGGGCAAGGCTACCACGTCCATACCCACAGGAAACACGCACCCTGATGTTCGCCGCATTTTGACCTCGGAGGTACTCCAGGCGTAATAGGGGCCGAATCTGCAGCCACAAGCGATTAAGGACATGGACAAATCACGTTCACCATTTGGACATGGAATATGGATCGTATAACGGAGCGCAGGGTTGCTTTTGGCGGTGTGGATTAACAATAAGAATGAGAGTCGGCTCTCGCATCCGCCCATTCTGCACCAACCCCTCTTCACCTTCGCACTCCCTAGACCCGCCCATCAGCCATTAAGTCGTCCCTCTCGTCCCCCCTCCCAGCCTGCTTACGGGCCCTAGAGTCTCCCCTCTTGATTTCTCTTCACCTACTTGTCGGCTCTGAAGTCTTTTTGCACGTTTACCGGCTATTAGTCTAGCCCCTCACCTGTTTAACAGCTCTGAAGTCTTCGGCGGACAGGTCGCCCGAGTACACAAGGCGGTCGTGGCTCATGGCGCCGCGCGCTGGGAAGAGAGTGACCGAGTTGTGCGCATTGCTGAGGGCGATAAACAGGAAGAACCCAGAACAGAGAGTTGGATGATAATAAATGTTAGTGTCAGTTACGATATCCATTGGAGTCTGACCAGTAGGACCGTGCAGGAAGGGGGTTGGGAACAGTTGGGCAGCTTACCCGAGGTTCTCTCTCAGCACCGACAACACTACTGGCTCTGCTCGATGCTTCTTCGCCTGAAGCGAGAAATTTACGCGGAAACGGGCGAGACAGAGGAAAGAGGGAACAGGATGCAGTTGGAGTTACGAGACCCAACAAAAGTTACAATTGTTTGGCTGTAACTCATTTTCTACTGCAAATTTGTTTGTCAGCAAGTCGCGCAATACAAGAGATGATTGAAATTGCTCCTCACTCACGTGTTCGATAGTCTCTAATGGAGTGATCTTCGAAAGCAGTAGCCCCATCTTTCAACCAGCCCACGTTTTCGATGCTTCTTAAACAGTAGCGTGCTTTGGCGCCAAGTCAACTAATTGGCGGCGCAGGGTTGTATGACACTAATCGATGAGCAACTGCGGATTGCCTCAGGGAGCTAGCTAACTACACCTTTCTGAAGTTCAGCAGCCCTTTAAAAAGCAAGCGGAAGAAGGGAGCGGGACGTTCAAGCGTAAGCTAAAAACACTTCAATCAAACCTTTACACTAAGTGACTGCCCGAGTCAAAACGAATTACAAGTCGTGACTAACAGAAGCTCTCACTTCGTGGACGCCAAACAACTCTTGCTCCTACGAGAGTGCACGGGTCTGAAGGATGATCAGGAAGTGGGCAACGCAACCAGGAAAACATGTACGTGTATGTACAGATCCGTGGTAAGCCTGTGGGTTTGTTCCTTCTGGCTCCTCAACCTGGCTCCTCCAGAGCTTGGCTTTGTTTCATCAAGTTCCCCCATCGAGCATCCTGTGGTAGTGAACATCAAGTTTGATAGCGAACGTCTGCTCTGCAACCGGCCAGTGTGGTGGTGTGGTGTGGTGTGGTTTGGTGAGGTGAGTGAAGAAGAAACACCCTGGCGTGGCGGTCCGTGTCAGGTCAGGCCAGGTACTTTCACCAGCCGTTGGGGGCCACCCCGGCGCGGGCCGCTGACATTTCGTGAAAGCCGCCACCCTCGCGGCCCGAATGGCCCGTTAGCTGACAGGTCCCATCAATGCTACACCCAGCTAGAAAAGAATATTCCGTTAGACTTAATTTCTTATATTCCAATTCTCAATGGTATGGAACCTTGATCTGCAGTTTGAATTACCCCTTTACACTTTCAACAGATTCAGTAAAGCACTTGAAAAAAACTAAAAATAAAACTGCTATATTCATTCAACATTTGCATTACGTTGTTGCTTATGATAATGTTGTCACATACGAGTCCAAATTACTTATGAACAACTCGCATCTGCGCACGGGATAATACACGGGAAGATGGAGTGCAGGGGGGTTGAGGGGGGGGGAGGGGTGTGGGGGGGAGGGAATCAGTAATTAGCTGGCGTATCTCCTTCCCTCTCTGGGTGATACATAACAAAACAAAAGAACGAATAACAACACAGCAACCACCCACCCACCCAGCACCCGCCCTAGGCCATCCCATCCATCGCTTCCCCCATCTTCGTGTTCCTTCGTCTACCCCGTTCCCTACTGCACTACCTCCTTTCTTCTTCGGAGCAGTGTGGTGTGAAATGAATTTTCTTTTCTCAGCGCCTCCCAACCCCTTCTTCATTCTGCTCCCTGACATACCTGAAAGGTTCGCCTGGCACATAAAGAGGGTTCTTAATGACGTATTCAACATATATGTTGGTGTATATGTGCTTCAAAGCATCCCGAAGATCGCCCATCTTCGGATCTGTCACCAGTATTATCTGCAGTTCACAAACCATAGATAAAGACAGGCCATAACAAAACTTGCCACGTCAAGAAACACATATATATGGTGCAAGTGGCAGGACCTTTGAAGAATAAGAGAGCACTGTCAGTACTAAAGTCTTAACGAGAAAACATAGCATTGGAGAGTGCATAGCCTTAGTAAACTTGCCTTAATCCCTGACGGGGTCTCAAGGTAGTTCAGCTTGTACGTGTTCGTGCGGAAGGCATGGAAGGAACAGCCATCACCTGATGCACCACTGACAAGGAAATCAAAACAAACGGAGAATGGAAAGAATGGAAAGGGGGAAGAATGGATTGGGGATTGAAAAGAGAACAAGACAGAGGGGGAATGCTGACTGGAATGCGAACGTGGGTACAGTCAGGGCCTTGAAATAATCTGGCCATTCGGATATGGTAGTATAGCTGAAATGCATTGTAAGACTGCTGGGATGAGACATGGAGGCATTGCATGCAGGGCCCCTAACCTGCGGTTGTACAGAAGAAACAGTAGGTAACTTAATAGGATGCAATTCGGGGTGACACCAATGAAGCAGTAAATACAAGGTTGCGCACATAAGATTCATTATGGGGTGGCAGCGAAGAAGCAGCAGCGTACTTGATGGGATCCATTTTGACTGTTAAAGAGCGGAGGAAGAAGTTTTGAGACGTCACAAAACTCCACTATGGGGTAGCAGCGAATAAAACAGCGTACTTGATGGGATCCATTTTGGCGGTGAAGGAGCGGAGTGAGAAGACGAGCCCGAACATGAGCTTGTGGTCGTCCGTGTTCGGCGGGTTCGGACGGTACCACTCCCGGTAGAAGATGCAGCCGTTGCGATTAAAGACGTAAATCATGTTTATTCGCGAGTTACCCTTGACGCCGTTACCGGCGGCGCCGCCGACTACGCTCAACATGATGGCTCCACTGGCAAAAGATGCGTAGGCCTCAACAGTTGCCAATCACGACACCGTGACGGGCGGCAAAGGACGGCAACTACTGCTGCTGGCACTCAAGAGGCAACGCGGTCCGTGTCAGCAGCACATGACGAGACTAGGTCAAGAGATGCGGAGAAATGTAGGAGGAAAACCATTTGAGCAGCAGTGCTGTTATTGAAAGCTTCACTTTTGTTTTTAACTGATTTTACAACTGTAGTTGGAAATGCGTGGTACAGACAATTTGTGTGCCCCTCCCTCCCGCCTTTTTTACTGCCTTGAAATCTTCTGGACGCGGTGAACAAACCAGTCACTGAACCCTGAACGCAGCGTCAGTGCTTGCGTGCTCTGCATGCAACTGGCCATCTCAGATAAGGCGTGGCGGATTCGTGCGCGGGTCTGTGCACGCAAGTCTCAGTTCTCCGTGTGTCGTTGAGTTTCTTATCGTAACGCAAGGAAAAGGAGTGGAAACGGGAAGAGAGGAGAAAAGGAGGAATAACGTGAGTAGAAAAAAGGAGAGAGGAAGAAAGAAGGAGGGGAATAGGGGAAAAATGATAGGAGGAAGAAAAACAGGGAAGAAGGAAGAAAAAGCAGCACACACAACCCCAAGAAAACCCCAATAGCACACACATTTAAAACACCATCAAGCCCTCCCATCAAAGCACCCCAACTGCACTCCCATCGAACCAAACCTCCCCCCCTAAACCCACCCTCTAAACCCGCATGTCTACCAAGTATGGTGCATCCGCCCACGGAGCATCCCATCCCATCTCCTCCTCAACATCCTCCCGCTCCACCCAAACAGCCTCTGGGCCTCTCATCATCGACGCAGCGCGTAACAAGATCACACGCGCCTGAGCCCGTTGCAAAGCCACACCCACAGCCGCTTTGAGCGATCCGAGCAAATAAGCCGAGAAACCCTTTCCCGTAGCTCGCGCCGCCCCTTTCGTCTTTGCTATCTCGATCTGCGCGTCACCCTGCTTCTTAAGCCACCGTCCAAAACTCCCCCCCAAGCATCCCCATGTCTCAGCAATGAGTGGTGTGAACTGCACTCCCCCATGCCGCTGTAGAAGCGATTTGTAGTCCGCCGTCTTCCGCTTTTCTCTCTCTCTCGCGGCAAAACCCACCTTGCGACCAATCTGTCCATGGTGCTGCGCGGATAGCGAGATAGGATCTACCACACTAACCTCCAGCGCGTGCTCCTCCCCCTCCCTCAGTTTCCGAACCGCCACATCAACCCTCTTCCCTGGGAGCAACGTGTCGTCTTCCATGGTCACAATCCCACCCGCACCCTTAGCTATCTTCGCCACCACAAATTTAACCGCATCGTGAACCCGAGAAGGTGCATACTGATACTTGCAGCGAAGGGCATGATGCGGGTCAGAGGGATCAGCAAACTCAAACCCACACGCGCACTTGCCGGCCACTATCAGCTGCTGAATAGGGAGGCCTAGGCGACGCGCAGATGCTCCACTCGGCTGCGGTGAAGGTAGCCTCCTCGTGCGAAGGAACGGCAGAAACCCACGCCCCAGCCCCCGGGCCCTGAAGGGATGTCAAACGGGCCAGGGTGGCATCGTTGTGGGCCATGCCTCGAAGAGATTGGAGGCTCTCAACCGCCAGGCGACGGTGTTGTGTGGGGAAGAGCAGCATAGGCGGATCAGCGGTGCACAAGGCAAGGGGTGGCATCTCCTGCCGAACCGACTGTGGAAGCAGATCCACTGCTCTCGCAAACCAGGGGTCCAACAAGGTCGTAGCCTCGGGCGTGCGGAAAAACTCCTCAAACATCCGCTCCTCACCTGCCACCCCCAACCGAGCCACATCGCTCACTGCTTGGCACCAGCCACATGCATACGACAGAGGACTAAGGTCAGCCGCAGATCGAATGCCGAACCCCCCGAGTCTGGCAGGAAGGTGCAGCTGTAAACGAGCCATCTGGGACTTCCCCGAATCGTGATCCCAGGTACTATCTGGAAACAGCTCCTCGAAACAATCTTCCAGCTTCGTGTCCCAGTCCCGAAAAGCCTCCACAACCTCAGGTCGTGGAGGCATCGTCCGTGTGAGGTAGATCGGGCGCGCCGACACTGCGATCGCCAACAAATGGGACGCAATCTGTGGGTGGTCAAGCAGAGGAAGCCAGGGGACAGGTGCATGCAGCTCCGTCAGCCGGCGACGCAGGCTAGCCACCTCCCAGTCCTCCTCCCCAATGGGCACCCCTACCACAGTGAGCCCCGTCCATGTCCACGAGTTTCTTATCGTAGTGAAACCCAAGTCTTCCAGTCGGTCAGTACCTAGGCCCAGTTCGGCAGGCATTATGGCCATTATCGCCATTATCGGCCATTTTAACGGGCCCCCAAAAAATGGCCCCAAGAAACAGACTGTAGCTGCAGTGAAACTTCGGTAAGCAATGGCCCGAGTGTTCGGTTGGCATTAAATGGGCCGAAATTAATGGCGCCATCGGAAATGACACTTCTGAGAAGCCCGTATGCAGCTGCGCTGGTGGAGCATAGAATCACTGTAAGGGCAGCCCGGGCAGCCCTGCAAAGCAGCGGCGGACGTCGAAAAAAAAAGCGCAAGGCATACTGTGCGTTCGATGTGTTAGAGATTTTGTGTTTGTGTGTGCGATTTTCCAGCGGGCACGAAGAGGGGTGAGAAAGACCGGGATTTATTTTTTTCAGTGCAAAGTGTGATTGCCCCGAATCAATGATCCCCCGCATGGTGCGGGACCTCGAGGCCGCATGGTGCGGCGGATGAGAAAATGGAGAGTTTGTCTGAGAAAAAGGGTTCGAGGAAGGTTCATCTTGTGAAAAATGCCAGCGTTAAAAGGGGTGTTCGGCTGGCATTCCATTATTGTCTGGTTCGGTGTTGATCCGCTTATATCGAGCCTAGATAACCTTTTGCGCGCTTATCAAAGAAGGTTCTAGGGTGGTCGTTTTACTGTAGCCCGTACGGGGAAACCATTTTTTAATGCCTGCCGGGCCCAGTTCGGCAGGCATTATGGCCATTATCGCCATTATCGGCCATTTTAACGGGCCCCCAAAAAATGGCCCCAAGAAACAGACTGTAGCTGCAGTGAAACTTCGGTAAGCAATGGCCCGAGTGTTCGGTTGGCATTAAATGGGCCGAAATTAATGGCGCCATTGGAAATGACACTTCTGAGAAGCCCGTATGCAGCTGCGCTGGTGGAGCATAGAATCACTGTAAGGGCAGCCCGGGCAGCCCTGCAAAGCAGCGGCGGACGTCGAAAAAAAAAAGCGCAAGGCATACTGTGCGTTCGATGTGTTAGAGATTTTGTGTTTGTGTGTGCGATTTTCCAGCGGGCACGAAGAGGGGTGAGAAAGACCGGGATTTATTTTTTTTCAGTGCAAAGTGTGATTGCCCCGAATCAATGATCCCCCGCATGGTGCGGGACCTCGAGGCCGCATGGTGCGGCGGATGAGAAAATGGAGAGTTTGTCTGAGAAAAAGGGTTCGAGGAAGGTTCCTCTTGTGAAAAATGCCAGCGTTAAAAGGGGTGTTCGGCTGGCATTCCATTATTGTCTGGTTCGGTGTTGATCCGCTTATATCGAGCCTAGATAACCTTTCGCGCGCTTATCAAAGAAGGTTCCAGGGTGGTCGTTTTACTATAGCCCGTACGGGGAAACCATTTTTTTATGCCTGCCGAACTGGGCCCCGAACTGGGCCCTAGTCTTCGACATTGCAAAACTCTAGTCCTGCTACTGGCCGCAATCGAGGTCCACGCTCCTTCCCACCACTGCTGTCATTCAGTGACCCCTGAAAAGCAACGGCCATCGCACACCTATATCGTTACAGCCGATTTATACCCGCTGCTGCCTTTCCTGCCGTCCGGCCACCAACACTGAAACCTCGTTATGGCGACATTCGGAACAGTCACAGCGACGCAACCGCACAATCCCAACAAGGACATCGAGGTACCGTCCCGTCCATACGCAAGCCATGAACCCTTTTTGTCTGGCAATGAACCCATCGCGCTGTAGCGTCGAACATGATGCCATCAAGTGGAGTTTAGATTGTGCTCGCTCTCGGTACGCGAGGCGGTTCTCGCCTCCTCGCTGCCCCAAGCCTCGTTGTCGCCAGCGGATCGGTATAGCGAGACTCGCGAGCCTGCAGGCTGAGCGTCGTTCGATCAGGGTTTCATTCTGGAGCGAGTGCTGGGGGCCAAGATTCCAGCATTCTGGAGGGTAATGGTGGCTTTTTCGGCGCGGATTAAACATGTGACGCTCGATCAGGTGTAAGACGCGCGGAGTTTTATTCCTTGCTGTCCATGCTTCTCACCATCTTCCCCTGTTACCTTCCCCTGCCATGTTCCCCCTGCCATCTCTCCCCCGTCATCTCCCCCTGTCATCTCATCTCCCCCTGCCATCTCCCCCTGTCATCTCATCTCCCCCTGCCATCTCCCCCTGTCATCTCATCTCCCCCTGTCATCTCCCGCTAAAGTGTGCCTGTCCTGTGCCGCACGTGTGCCTCTCCCATGCCTGATGTGTGCCTGTCCCGTGCCTGTTGTGTGCTTACCACGTGTCTGATGTGTGGCTACCACGTGTCTGATGTGTGGCTACCACGTGTCTGATGTGTGCTTACCACGTGTCCGCAGGTGGCGCAACCGCCCAATGACGGCATATCCAGCATGTGCTTCAACCCCAAGGCCAACTTCCTCGTTGCCACGTCATGGGATAACCAGGTGACGTGTCGCTGCTGCGTAATTCTGTCATGGTAACAAGGTCGCGTCGAGATAATCAGGGTGTTATTGTTAGGCTATTTCGTTGAGATAACAATGTGACTCGCTTTGCTCGTAATATCTATCTTCTGATCTTGCTCGCCCTTCTCCCTCCTGTCCCCACCAGGTGCGGTGTTGGGAGATTCAGGGCAATGGAGCCAGCCTGTCCAAGTCTTCTCTTCGCTTCTTCCCTCCCTCATCATCCCACTCACAGCCGTCACTCCTCTCCTCCATCTCCTCTCGCCTCTGCCCCTACCACGTGCGGTGTTGGGAGATATAGGGCAATGGAGCCAGCGTTCCTAAGGCTTCCCTTTCCTCCGTCATTATCCCATTTATTCTCTCCACTCCACTCCTTTATCTCCTTGTCTCCCTCCCTGTCCCCACCAGGTGCGGTGTTGGGAGATTCAGGGCAATGGAGCCAGCGTGCCCAAGTCTTCTCTTCACTTCTTCCTTCCCTCATCATCCCACTAATAGCCGTCACTCCTCTCCTCCATCTTCTCTTGCCTCCCCCCTCACCAGGTGCGGTGTTGGGAGATTCAGGGCAATGGAGCCAGCGTGCCCAAGGCAGGAACAGCACACGATCAACCAGTGAGTGCCCTCTCTTCTTGCTTAAGGATCAACCAAGGCCTGCCATTTTTCTGCGTGTTCTTTCTAGCTGCCAATCGCTCGCTCGCACCTGAGGGCCCTGTATTCTCGCATGCCCTTTCGTCCATCGGCCTTTCCATTTGACTCCCTCGCTCCCCCTTTGCCCCCCCCCTGCTCCCGCATGCTCAGGTGCTCTGTTCAGCCTGGAAGGACAACGGCACGACAGTGTTCTCAGGCGGCTGTGACAAGCAGGCCAAGATGTGACCAACACCTGACTCCCCCTGCTCTCCTTTCCGTCCTCCCTCCCTCTTGCTCCCCCGCTCAGGTGCTCTGTTCAGTGTGAAAGGACGACGGCACAACAGTGTTCTCGGGGGTCTGTGACAAGCAGGCAAAGATGTGGCCGGCTGTCCCCCGTCTTAACACTTGTGTTTCTTTGCTCCTCGTCTGTACTCCCTTCTCCCGAATTCTCAGGTGCTCTGTTCAGCGTGGAAGGACGACGGCACGACAGTGTTCTCGGGGGCCTGTGACAAGCAGGCCAAGATGTGGCCGCTGATATTACATGCTCCTCCACTCTCCTTTCTCTTCCTTTCACTCAGGTGTTCTGTTCAGCGTAGAAGGACGACGGCACGACAGTGTTTTCAGGGAGCTGTGACAAGCAGGCCAAGATGTGCCCAGCTGTCCCTCATGTCAACACTTTCTTTGCTCCTCCTTTGTACTCCCTTTTCCCGCACTCCCCCATGCACAGGTGCTCTGTTCAGCGTGGAAGGACGACGGCACGACAGTGTTCTCAGGCGGCTGTGACAAGCAGGCCAAGATGTGCCCAGCTGTCCCTCATGTCAACACTTTCTTTGCTCCTCCTTTGTACTCCCTTTTCCCGCACTCCCCCATGCACAGGTGCTCTGTTCAGCGTGGAAGGACGACGGCACGACAGTGTTCTCAGGCGGCTGTGACAAGCAGGCCAAGATGTGGCCGCTCATGTCTGGAGGGGCGGCGAGCACGGTGGGCGTGCACGATGCGCCCATCAGCAAGATGGCGTGGATCGGCGAGATGAACCTGCTGGTGACTGCTAGCTGGGATAAAACGATCAAGTGAGTGAGAGGGTTTAGTGGGAGCACAGTGGGCGTGCCGCGTGCACAATGCGCCCATCAGCAAGATGGCTTGGATCGGCGAGATGAACCTGCTGCTCACTGCTATTGGAATAGTCTAATCCATGCTTGACGTTAGAGGGGTGTAGGTGATATGAGAGCACGGTAGGCGTCTAATCCAACCCATGTTTCACAATGCCTCTCTACTCCCCCCGCCACTCCACCTGCCATCGACCCACCTGCCATCAGGTATTGGGGCACGCGTCAGGCCACACCAGCCACACACAGGCACTGCCCGAGCAGTTGTACGGTCTGAGCTTGCGACACCCCCCCCCCCGCGGTTGTGGCTTCTGCTGATGCACATTCCCCACCCCACCCGCCTGCCCCCCCCTGCCATCAGGTACTGGGACGCGCGTCAGGCCACCCCCAGCCACACACAGGCACTGCCCGAGCGGTTGTACAGGCTCAGTGTGCGACACCTCACCCCACCCCACCCCCCTGCCCTGGCTTCTGCTGATGCATATTCCCCACCCCATCCCCCTGCCCTGGCTTCTGCTGACGCATATTCCCCACCCCATTCCCGTGCCCCCCCCCCCCCCCCCCCTTGCCATCAATCAGGTACTGGGACACACGCCAGGCCACCCCCGCACACACACAGGCGCTGCCCGAGCGGCCGTACGGGCTGAGCGTGCGACACCCCCTCATGGTCGTGGCCACTGCAGACCGCCACATCATCGTGTACAACCTGGCATCGCCGCAGGTGGGTGAGAAGCATAGGAGGGAGGGGGAGTGTTTGTTTGCTCTAGAAGGGAAGAGTTGTGCGGCTCGGCACCCCCTCATGGTAGTGGCCTCTGCAGACCGCCACATCATCGTGTACAACCTTGCGTCGCCACAGGTGGGTGAAAATCACAGGATAGACGACCCCTCCATCTGGCGTCGCCGCAGGTGAGGCACACGAGGGAGGGGATGTGTTTGATTGAGGAAAGTGTTGTGGGTGTTGTAGAGGCACCCCGTTATGGTGGTTGCCCCCCGCCGCAGACCGCCACAGTGTCGTGTACAACCTGGCATCGCCGCCGCAGGTGGAATGTATGCACTGCAAGCGAATGGCATTCCACCCCATTCCAGTGACCTAAACTTCACTTCCTGTTCCTGTCTTCCCCCCTTCCACCAGACGGAGTACAAGCGGGTGATCTCGCCCCTCAAGTACCAAAATCGCTGTGTGGCGACCTTCCCTGACAAGAGTGGGTACCTGGTGGGGTCCATAGAGGGGCGTGTGGCCGTGCAGCACGTGGAGGAGAACCAGCAGCCACTTCCCCTCCCCCCCTCTTCCCACTTCCAACCCTTCCTTTTCCGCACTACCCCCAAGAGGAACACCCAATGCAGCCCTAGCTTGGTCCCCTGAACCTCTGTCTCTCCTTCCCCTTCCCCCCTCACATCAGACGGAGTACAAGCGGGTGATCTCGCCTCTCAAGTACCAGACGCGGTGTGTGGCGACCTTCCCTGACAAGAGTGGGTACCTGGTGGGGTCCATAGAGGGGCGTGTGGCCGTGCAGCACGTGGAGGAGAACCAGCAGCCACTTCCCCTCCCCCCCTCTTCCCACTTCCAACCCTTCCTTTTCCGCACTACCCCCAAGAGGAACACCCAATGCAACCCCAGCTTGGTCCCCTGAACCTCTGTCTCTCCTTCCCCTCCCCCCCTCACACCAGACGGAGTACAAGCGGGTGATCTCGCCTCTCAAGTATCAGACGCGGTGTGTGGCGACCTTCCCTGACAAGAGTGGGTACCTGGTGGGGTCCATAGAGGGGCGTGTGGCCGTGCAGCACGTGGAGGAGAACTAGCAGCCACTTCCCCTCCCCCCCTCTTCCCACTTCCAACCCTTCCTTTTCCGCACTACCCCCAAGAGGAACACCCAATGCAGCCCCAGCTTGGTCCCCTGAACCTCTGTCTCTCCTTCCCCTTCCCCCCTCACACCAGACGGAGTACAAGCGGGTGATCTCGCCTCTCAAGTATCAGACGCGGTGTGTGGCGACCTTCCCTGACAAGAGCGGGTACCTGGTGGGGTCCATTGAGGGGCGTGTGGCCGTGCAGCACGTGGAGGAGAACCAGCAGCAGAAGAACTTCACCTTCAAGTGCCATCGTGATGGCAACGACATCTACGCGGTTAACTCGATAGATTTCCACCCGGTGAGTGAGTCGTGTGCCTGCCTGGTTGACTTGTATGCGGTGAGATGGGCTGTGAGTGGCCGTGCAGCACGTTGGGAAGAACCAGCAGCAGAAGAACTTCACCTTCAAGTGCCACCGCGATGGCAACGACATCTACGCGGTCAACTCCATCGACTTCCACCCGGTGCGTGAGATGACTGCCTGGTTGACTTGCGTTGACTTTGTGTTGACTTGGTGGTGCTGACATGTGCTGACTTGTGTTCTGACTTCTGCCTGGTTGACTTGCATTGCTGCGTGAGGTATGCCTGGTTGACTTGTCCCACTTGGCCATCACTTTCAGTTACCTCGGTCAGTCTGCGCCCTCCTGCCTCTCATGTTTTTTTCCTTCCAACCCCCATCGCCACTGCGTGCAGCAATTCGGCACGTTCACAACGGCGGGGTCGGATGGGGCGTACAACTTCTGGGACAAGGACAGCAAGCAGCGCCTCAAGGTGCGTCGCTACTATGCCTCTATGGATGGACGATTTGCACTTCTATGGACGATTTGCACTCATGTTTTTTTAAGTTTCTTTCTCTTGGCACCTTGTGTCTAGATTTGAACCGTTGCAAGGCAAGTCTGAGTTTTGAGAACATTTGTTCGGGATTGTTTTGATTTGTTTTGGGTTTTGGTTCTCTCCAACCTCTTGAAGTTCTATGCCACTCTTTCACTCCTTTTATTTTTCCGTAGTTCAACTGTTGCAATCTTCGTGTGACTGTATTCACGCATGACCATATTCAAGCATGATACTATGTTCGCATCACTGTACTGGTGTACATGTACACGCCATCAGACCTATGCGTTCATTTCACCCTGTTTGTCACCCTCGTTTCTTCAGCCTCCTCTCTGCTTGTGCACGTATGCATGCAATCATGCCTTGCAGTGCTGCAGCATGCAGCATGCCTGCTCTGCATTCACCTCTTCTATCCCTCCCTCCGCATCCTATTGCGCCATGCTCATCACTTCGACCATCATGTCACCATCCCTCCCACTGCCCTGTGCGCACCCCGTCAACCCCACCCCGTCAATCCCACCAGGCCATGCAGCGGTGCAGCCTGCCCATCTCATGCAGCGCCTTCAACCACGACGGCACCATCTTTGCATACGCTGTGAGCTATGACTGGAGCAAAGGCGCGGAGAGCCACAACCCGGCAGTCAACAAGAACTATATTCTTCTGCACGCAACCCAGGTACGGTACCCCTTTGTATCTACTATTACGCCACATGCGCAATGAACTGAATTTCTCTACACAAGGGCACTCTTTTGGCGAGAAAGTGTCCGTGAAATGTACCCACCTGTATTCGCTTCTCGGGGTCGCATTTCTCTGTCCATTCGTTTTGTTTGATCAACAGGAAAGCGAAGTGAAGGCCAAACCGAAGTCGACGTCCACCACTACGAGAAGATAATGCACTTGAGTCCTGATGAGAATTCAAGGGAAGGATTAAGATACCATAATAGTTTAGATGGGAATAAAAGTTTTGTATCTTGTTGAATTGATTTGGCTGCTTGTAGTGAAAGCAATGTAAAGAACATGGTACACCGACTCAACTTCACAAGCAACCTGCGCCGGCCGAACCTTCGCGACGACACGTCGTTTCTCGAAGTTGCCATTGCCACGTCGTACGGGCAACGCACTCATCGCTCTACCACGTGGCATGCGCATTTCCCCCTCACCCTTCCAACCTTCCCTTCCCCCTCGAGCTTATCCGCACTGGCGAGTTTCTCAAATTGATGAAAATCTCCACATTGATTTCTCTTCCTAGCTTGCTACTTTGCCGCCTCCCGTGACTTCTCAATCCCCGTCTCGCTGCTCCTCCTACGGACACCTGCTGTTAGCTTGTTCCGGGCTCGTCGCGGCGCTCGCCAGGTGCGATCTCAGACGTTGAAACAGATCCGACGCCCGGAATGGCTCAAGCACTCAGCGGCTCAGCCTCCGTAGTCTCACAATTCGCTGTTCCCGCAGCTGACGTGTCGACCCATCTCCGTAAAGGACCGGTGACTGCCACGTGGCACGCGACTGCAACAGATGGCGTTGCGGCCCGGGCTTCCGCGCTTCCAGCTCTGCGTGCTCGACACGCGACCAGAGGAGCCTCGTTGAGAGTTCGCGCCTCGACGCCAGTGGATTACGACTCTTCACAGGTACTTTCCACGTTTAACGTACTTGCAGTGGTACGGAAATGAGTACGACTAAAACGAATCGGTGACTAGGACTAATGAAAGCTGTTTTGGTGTTTTACACACAAAAGCGAATCGAGCGTGTGTATAATTTTGGCAAGATCAACAATGAGACTAATTGAGAACCGATCGAACGGAGGATTGGAAACAACCACCTTCCTCCGTGTTTTTTTATTCCCCTGAGTACACTTTGTGGACCTTGCGCCCTCTGTCCCCCCTTTGTCCCCCTTCCCCTCCCACTTTTCCAGTTTGCCCCCACTCCTCCTCTCCCCCGACTTTTCGGAGACGTTGGCGGCGGAGGCGGAACGCGCACTTCTCAGCATCGTGCGCATTCTGAAGCGGGTGGCGGATGCGAGTCAGTCGGATGCTTCTGAACCCCCATTCGCACTCGGCGCCCTAACCCCTGCATCAGGATGCAATGGAGACGGAGGAGGAAGGGGGTGGAGTCCGCTCGGCTCTCGATTGAGCGCATTCTGAAGCGGGCGGCGGCCGCGTACCAGTCGGAGGACGAGGCTTATGAATCCCACTTCCCCCACCCCACCCGATCTCCCCACTCCCCTCTCGACCCCCTAACTCCTACCTCAGGATGCAACGGAGACGGAGGAGGAGGGGGGAGAGTCCGGAGCGCTGTCGATCGAGCGCATATTGAAGCAGGCGGCGGACGCGTATCAGTCGGAGGACGAGGCGGCGGTGGCGACGGTGGAGGCGCAGCTGCGCGCCATGGAGGCCGACCGCCAGGGCCTCGCGGAGCGCCTCGAATCGCTCACAGCCGAGGTGAGCGCGCTGGTAGAGTGACTTGGCGGGAAGAGGGCTGTGTTGACGGGAAGAGGGCTGTGTTGTGGGATTCTCAAGTAACGCAAGCCACGGGAAAACAGGGTTGATGGGGAGGGATTTAAGGACGCTGTTGGTGGGCCAGGGCTGTGATCCCTAATGTGCGGGCCAGGGATTTAAGGACGTTGTTGCTGTGGTGGCCCATCAACCCTGGCCAGGGCTGTGATCCCTAATGTGCGGGCCAGGGATTTAAGGACGTTGTTGCTGTGGTGGCCCATCAACCCTGGCCAGGGCTGTGATCCCTAATGTGCGGGCCAGGGACTTAAGGACGTTGTTGCTGTGGTGGCCCATCAACCCTGGCCAGGGCTGTGATCCCTAATGTGCGGGCCAGGGATTTAAGGACGTTGTTGCTGTGGTGGCCCATCAACCCTGGCCAGGGCTGTGATCCCTAATGTGCGGGCCAGGGATTTAAGGACGTTGTTGCTGTGGTGGCCCATCAACCCTGGCCAGGGCTGTGATCCCTAATGCTGCCCCAGACTGGATCCATGTTCTTTACGTGGCAGCGACTGATTCAACTTGTAGAAAGTAGTTGTTAGGGCTGTGATTCCTATCTGAGCTGAGTTGCTGGCACCAAGGTTGCATGGAACCCAAAGGTTGCTTGGTGGATTCTGAGAGGCGGGTGAGTGAGTGAGTGAGAGTGAGGTGATAAAATTGTTGTTTTGAGACGTCTCATCGCATGGCTGGCAGGTGAGTGAGTGAGGGGGAAGTGGCGCCAGCTCGCTCGCATGCAGTGCCCGCTCTGCCCTTACGGCGTGTGCGAGGCATGCATGGGGCGTACTAAGTAGCGAGCTTGCTTGCTCGCATGGATGGAGTACCTGCCGTTAAGCTGGATCGCCTCTCTCCTCTGCCCTTCCCCTTACCCATCTCCTTCCTCTGCCCCTTCCTCTTCCCTTCCTTTCCCCTTCCTCTTCCCTTCCTTTCCCCTTCCTCTTCCCTTCCTTTCCCCTTCCTCTTCCCTTCCTTTCCCCTTCCTCTTCCCTTCCTTTCCCCTTCCTCTTCCCTTCCTTTCCCCTTCCTCTTCTTCCCTTCCTTTCCCCTTCCTCTCTTCCCTTCCTTTCCCCTTCCCTTCCTTCCTTTCCCCTTCCTCTTCCCTTCCTTTCCCCTTCCTCTTCCCTTCCTTTCCCCTTCCTCTTCCCTTCCTTTCCCTTCCTCTTCCCTTCCTTTCCCCTTCCTCTTCCCTTCCTTTCCCCTTCCTCTTCACTTCCTTTCCCCTTCCTCTTCCCTTCCTTTCCCTTCCTCTTCCCTTCCTTTCCCCTTCCTCTTCCCTTCCTTTCCCCTTCCTCTTCCCTTCCTTTCCCCTTCCTCTTCCCTTCCTTTCCCCTTCCTCTTCCCTTCCTTTCCCCTTCCTCTTCCCTTCCTTTCCCCTTCCTCTTCCCTTCCTTTCCCTTCCTCTTCCCTTCCTTTCCCCTTCCTCTTCCCTTCCTTTCCCCTTCCTCTTCACTTCCTTTCCCCTTCCTCTTCCCTTCCTTTCCCCTTCCTCTTCCCTTCCTTTCCCCTTCCTCTTCCCGTAACACGTCCACCTCTCCTTCCCCTTCCTCTCTTTCGCTTTCCGTTCCCCCTCCTCCCCCTTCCCCTTTCTCCTTCCCCTTCATCCTCCGCTTCCCCTTCTTCCTGTTCCCCCTTCCTCTTCCTCGTCCTCTTACTTTCACCTTCTTCCATTCCTTCACATACCCTTTCCCCTCTCCCTCCGCCTCGCCCTCCCCCACCCCCATCCCCTCCCCCTCCCCTTCCGCCAGATCTCCACAGCCAAGGACCGGTTCCTCCGGCTGAACGCGGATTTCGACAATTTCAGGAAGCGTTCGGAGCGGGAGAAGCTGGCCATGGCGGCCACCGTGCGCAGCGACGTGGTGGAGGCGCTGCTGCTACAAGTTCCCCCGTCCGTACCCCCATCCACTTTCTCACTACCCAGCTCTCTGCTCCGTCTTCCTTTTCTTGGATCTTCCCTGTCCTGCTCCCTCTCTCTCTCTCCAGATCTCAACGGCCAAGGACCGCTTTCTCAGGCTGAACGCGGACTTTGACAATTTCAGGAAGCAGTCGGAGCGGGAGAAGCTGGCCATGGCGGCCACCGTGCGCAGCGACGTGGTGGAGGCGCTGCTGCTGCAAGATCCCCCGTCCTTTCCCCCCTCCTCATTCTCACTACCCAACTTTCTGCTCCCCAATTTCTCCTTGGATCTTCCCTGTCCCGCCCGCTTCCTCCTTCCAGATTTCGACGGCCAAGGACAGGTTTCTCAGGTTGAATGCTGACTTTGACAATTTCAAGAAGCGGTCGGAGCGGGAGAAGCTGGCCATGGTGGCCACCGTGCGCAGCGATGTGGTGGAGGCGCTGCTGCTGCTACAAGTTCCCCTGTCCGTTCCCCCATCCCCTTTCTCACTACCCAACTTTCTGCTCCCCAACATCCTTGTCTTGGATCTTCCCTGTCCTGCCCGCTTCCCCTCCCCTCCCTTCAGATCTCAACAGCCAAGGACAGGTTCCTCCGACTGAACGCGGACTTTGACAATTTCAGGAAGCGGTCGGAGCGGGAGAAGCTGGCCATGGCAGCGACGGTGCGCAGCGACGTGGTGGAGGCACTGCTGCCGATGATTGACTCGTTTGAACGCGCCAAGGATGGTGTGAAGGCGGACACAGAGGCGGAGAGGAAGATTGACGGCGCGTACCAGGGCATCTATAGGCAGTTTGTGGAGGTCTTGAGGGGCCTTGGTGTCGCTGCTGTGGAGACGGTTGGCAAGGAATTTGACCCCAATGTGAGTTGCATGGGTGTGTGAGGTTGAATGTGTGGTTGATTGTGAGCTTGCCCAGGATACGAGAGCAAGATGTGGTGGAGGCGCTGCTGCCGATGATCGACTCGTTTGAACGCGCCAAGGACGGGGTAAACGCGGACACAGAGGCGGAGAGGAAGATTGACGGCGCGTACCAGGGGACCTACCGGCAGTTTGTGGAGGTGCTGAGAGGGCTTGGCGTGGCTGCTGTGGAGACCGTCGGCAAAGAGTTTGACCCTAATGTAAGTCTCATGAGAGTGTGAGCTTGATCCTAGTGTGAGGTTCTGCCTGGTATGAGAGCAAGGCGTGGTGGAGGCACTGCTGCCCATGATCGACTCGTTTAAATGCGCCAAGGACGGTGTCAAGGCGGACACAGAGGCAGAGAGGAAGATTGACGGCGCGTACCAGGGCATCTATAGGCAGTTCGTGGAGGTGCTGCGAGGGCTTGGCGTGGCAGCGGTCGAGACTGTTGGCAAAGAATTCGACCCGAATGTGAGTTTGATGAGTGTGTGAGTTTGGCACGAATATGAGAGCAAGGTGTGGTGGAGGCGCTGCTGCCGATGATCGACTCGTTTGAACGCGCCAAGGATGGGGTAAACGCGGACACAGAGGCGGAGAGGAAGATTGACGGTGCTTACCAGGGGATCTACCGGCAGTTTGTGGAGGTGTTGAGGGGGCTTGGCGTGGCGGCGGTTGAGACGGTTGGCAAGGAGTTTGACCCCAATGTGAGTTGCATGGGAGTGGGTTTGATAGGAGTGTGAGTTTGATGGGAGTGTGAGGTTGCCGCAAACGTGATTCTGACGTGATGATTCGAGACTGAAGTCATGGCAACAGTGCCAATGCACACCTCTACCGTCTTCCCTCCACCAGGTGCATGACGCGAATATGAGGGAAGATTCCACAGGGTTCCCCGAGGGGGTGGTGCTTCAGGCGTTCCGCAAGGGCTTTGTCATTATTCCCCTCTCCTCTCATCTCCTCACACTGCACCCCTCTCCCTCTGTTCCCCAGGTGCATGACGCCATCATGAGGGAAGACTCCACAGAGCACCCCGAGGGGGTGGTCATTCAGGAGTTCCGCAAGGGCTTTGTCATCGGAGACAAGCTCATTCGCCCCGCCATGGTTAAGGTTTCCGCTGGCCCAGGACCCGCTGGTGCTGGTGATGCGGCTGCTGATGGTGCTGCTGCTGGTGATGATGGTGTGTCGGAGGGATCGGACGCAGAGGCTGGGGAGAAGTCCGAGTAGGTTGTGATTATGATTAGCAGCAGAAGAGCGATAAGCAGGAGTCTGTGCGGAAGATAGGAAGGTGTACGTTTAGGATCAAGGAATCAGCAGTGCATGACATGTCATCCACTCTCAGTTTTGATGCTGGCGTTGAGATGGTCATGGTCCCCTTTTATGGAGTAAGATTTTGTGGGTAGGAGCAATTGTAAGGGAAAGAGGAGAATGTGCATACTGTTCTGTAATGTGTATTCAAAGAATGATTGATTGTTAGACAACTATGGCTGAATTGTGGGGTTACAAAAGCATTTTCATATTAAGTCCCAGAAACTGGCTTCACGCTTTTGAAAGAGGAAAAGGGAAAGAGGGAGAAGGAAAAGGGAAAGAAAGACACCAGAAAGGGGCTTGTTATATGTATTGGTAGGTTTGAGTAGTGAAAGGGCTTTGGAATGAAGTAGCTACTCAAACAAATAAATGCATGTATTTTGCATGTACCGAAGCCAATTGTATACCGGTCATAGGCCCGATGAGGCCTGATGCACGGGAGAGCCGCCAACTCCACCATGATCGAACAGACAGCCTCCACCGCCTTTTTTATCCACAATTGGGGAGAATTTATGCTTGCCTCAGTCAGCTCCTCAACTTGGATTCACAGCCACGAATCGAACTCGACTTTTGCAGCTTAGATGCAGCGCCAAGGCTGCTGCTGTGTGCTGTACCGTGTTCAACTGCTGGAAACGCGTAGATTCGAATCGCACATGTTTATAATTAGGACCATTCGTCGTTTACTGGGAGTCGCCTGCCTAGTCAAGATCACACTTGGTCTGCCCTTTTGCTGTATGAAGCGTCAGATGCGGCCGCGTTACTTTTCTGCGATTGTCTCCCCAGCAAAAGTAACGCTTCCAGATTTCTTCATTTGAAGAATAGATGGTGCTTGTTAAAAGTTCAGAACGTAGATCAAGCCAGGTGAGCAACAATCCACGTTCTTTAGATGCTATCCCTTTATCCACAAGGATTGAAGTTTACCCTGACGAGATTTTATGAGCAACAGCACAGTGATTGCTGTGGGAGGACGTTAGAGTGGTAGGGTAACGCGAGAGTCGTCAGGGACGGGCGGGCGTAGTGTAGGCATCACGTGAACGACACCAGGCCTTTACAGCGTATCAGAGCAGGACAGGACACGCATGCATGGCGGCTGCTGTACCCCTGGCCCGTCCGGCGAAATGAGGTATATTGGAATATATATTGACTGAACTTTACGAATCTGCGGTGCTAAGAGCCGCATCAGTCAGTGTGTGGTTCATGTTAGTTAGGACTCAAAGTAGGCTGCAAACCCTAAATGAACATGTCGCCATTTTGAGGCCCTCGAGAACACCTTGCCTAAACACTAGTCCTTCCCTCGCAGAACTTCTAGGGGGGGAGTGTGGGGGGAAGATGGGGCGGGTGGGGGGGGTCCTGGGATTGACGCGACCGGCGTGACGTGGCGAGCGTCGTTCTTGAAGGCTCGGCGGTGCCAGCGTAACGCGGAACACTTGGGAAGCAGCTCGCTCTCACTCCCAGGGATGTTGCGAGATCGGACCCACCGGTGGGGAAGCGATCAAGATCTAGGAATGACTCACTTTTCTCCCATTGCCTGAATCAGAAACCTGATGCTAATGAGATTCGCGCACAAGCGCAAATCCGTTCCATCAGTCGTGAGAAATCCCCCGTCCAATCCCGATTCCCGAATCCACTCCCTCCTTTCCCGCGTTCTGTTGAAACGCATCACGGTATTAATGGTCGGTGGGGTACCTCAAATCCACTGAGTTTTTCCATAAATGTCCTCATACCAGATTTACGAGCTCCAACAAATAGAAAGGTCGTCTTCTACGCCTTCACCCTCGGCCAGTACTGTAGTACGACTAATACCCCAGACCTGCGTTCAGGAATTCAGCTTGAGCAGACCACAGCTTGAGCAGTCCAATACTACGACTAATACGAGCCCCTCCATCCCACTCCATTCCTCGGCTTACCTTAGGAGGGCAAAGCTTTGCAGAAGGGGAGAATTACAGAAGCGGAGAATTCTATGTCATCAATCAAACCCCGAGGTGTGCACGATACCATTGCCAACGCCACTGCCAGGAGCAGCACCGGCATGACTCATCAAGACCCCATGCATCGGCATCATGATCATGATGAAGCGGGCGGCAGTGACAACGGCGGCACAAGCAGCAGGCTCGCGGTCGCTGCAGTGGCAAGCATGGCCCCGCGCAGCCTTTGGGCGAAGCAGCTCGTGAGAGAGCACACGTGGGAGCTTGGGAAAGAGCCGTCAGGGCTCGTAGCAGCAGGCTGCTCTCACTGGATGGTTGGGTCGCGCCGGGAGCCGGCAGCGTCCTGTGATCCTGTGGCCCGGGAGGCGCACAGCTCGAAGCTTGGGAGACAGACCAAGTCACTGGAGCCGCGAACGCAGCGTAAGATCAATTGGGAGGATGACTGTGAGAGAGGAGGCTCACGACGCCAGGCGGACGCTGATTTTGGGGATAATTGTCGTGGTGATAAAGGTCTCACGATTGGTGCGGATGCCAGGCGGGGACGTCCCAGGTTTTTGAGGCGCCGCCTCGATAACGGCTGCATGAATGACGAAGCTGTTGTGCGGCGGTCCAGTGGCAAGTCAAGGCTCTCTGCTGCTGTCTGTCCTGCAGAAACCCCAGCTCAGCAGAGTGGTAGCTGCTTCTCCACAGGGCGAGAGCGGAGGCACGCGGATGGAACCGAGAACACCAGCAACAGCCTCTCAACCCGCCAGCCTTCTGCTAGTAGCTGCCCGGAGGGACGGGCAGCCCTGCCGAACCTTCACTACCACAGCAGCCGTGGCACCGCCAGTGCAAGCAGCAGTATCTCTCCCGGCGGGCCCAGCTGGGCGGCATACTTCCATGCCAAGATCTCTCAAGGGCTGCCTCTGCCCCTGCCGCTGCTGCACTCTGAGGCGCAAGGGATGCCCCAGCTGCTCTCACCTCTGCCTCTGCTCCTTGCAGAGCTGCTTGAAACCCCTCAGTCGCTCAACCAAGGTAGAGAATGCGGAGTGGTGGAGCGGAGCACAGCGCTGGATGCCGCATCAGCTGGAGTGATTTTGAGCCGACCAGCACCTGAGCTGCCAGACTCGAGTCGAGGTGATGAGTTCATTCTCCCTGACCTGAATCTGCCTGCTGCTGCTGATGCTGATGATATCGCTGGCGGCGCTGCTTGCGACGCTGCTCGTGATGATGTTGGTGGGCCGGCATTCACAGAGCACAGAAGCTTACAGTCCGCATGTGCAAGCAATGGATTGGATGACATGGCATTGGCACATGCAGTGGTCGCATCTGAGGCGCATTCGTGTGAATCCAAAGGCACTACCTTGGGTGAGCCAAATAGGTCTCGGTCTGTTCAGGTGCAGAAAAACCAGCAGCGAAAGCAGTCGCAAAGGCAGCAGCAACAGCAGCAGCGAAGGCAGCAGCAACGACCACAGGAACGACAGCATCAACGGCAGCAGCAGCAGCACCAGAAACAGCAGCGGCATCAACAATGGCGGCATGAGCAGCACCTGCAACAACGATGGCAGCAACAGCAGCAGCAACAGCAACAATGGCAGCACAAACAGCAGCAACAACAAAGGCACAAGGAGGATCAGTCGGAGGAGTGCACAACACAGCAAGAGAACCAACAGAGGCATCTTTACCTTGGAGCTTAGGGAGCAACTCATAAAGAAAGTCATGCTTTACAGAGCCTCTAAAGCTTGCTTCTTTGGCAGTGGTTGATTTCACGCACTTCTTGCAAGATGTCACTCTCCTCCAATTGTGACCGTCCTCTACCAGAAGGGCTGTGCAAATCCAGAAGGTCTGTCTTATATGTGATTGCCGCCACCATACTTAAGCTTCTTGCCCTGATTGGCCAGCACTGTGGGCATCTTTATACCGTATTCGCCCTGGATGGAACATTCCTCCTTCCCCCCTCCCCCCCACCCTTTCAATCTTCATACTGTGGCTTACGACCTGCAAAAGGGACAATAAAACATTATCCTACTACCTATAAGCCCCATCCCTGCCCCTCCTGGGCACATACGGTACACTGAATCGGCCATGCCTCGACACCAGTTTGGACAATGTTGATCCACGCAAAATCGCAGCACGTTAAATTTAATGATGTGAACACCCAATGGCAACATCATGTGATTTCAGAATGGATTATCGCCACGATGTGGACGGAAATCCATTGGAATTTTCAAATAATTTGAACTGCTTTCTCAATGCCTACCTCGTTGGAAGGAGTGTGTACGTACGGTGTAAGCTTTACAATGAAATATGTATCATCATGGTAAGTGCGCCTTATATGATCCATCATTATGGTGACACTTGCTGTTGATGGTGCTGCTGGTGATGATTTGGATCGGATGGGTAGGAACGAGAAAGTGGGGAGAATTCGGAAAAAAAAAAAAAAAAAAAAGAATTTAATGGGAACGCTGCCTAATGATAAATTATAATATTGAGAAAGCTTGCTTTCTTGTCCTTATAATTTGGCATCGTTCTCATTGCAACTGGCTTATTACAACATATGCAACGTTCTTAAACACATGCTAGTACATACAAATATTACTAGCTATAGAGTCGTCCGTCCAAGCAGCAGTGGTCTTGTAGTTGGTCCGGGGTGGGTGGTGGGGATGTTGATTGAGCCGTTGAAAAACGAGAAACGTGGGTGGAGGGAATGAACTCCAACCCACGGTTTTTGTAGTTGGAGAAGGGCGTTTAGCGCGCTTCGACGCTGCCAAATATTCGGTACAGGCAGCTTCGCTTTCACAATACACAATTTTGAAAACATCAATGTGTTTAAAAATTATAATATTGAGAAAGCTTGCTTTCTTGTCCTTATAATTTGGCATCGTTCTCATTGCAACTGGGGCCTCTGAGACATGGGCAGTGGTGGCTTCCGGTTGCGTAAGAGTGCCTCCGCGTGCTGTTCTGGGGGCAGTGCGTATGTCGGGTCCTGTAGGTCGCGGGATGCCTTGATAAGAT